GGAATAATTTTGGCATGCGGGCTTATGTGTTTCAGGGAAAATTCTCATCTGAATTTCAGTTAGCTGATCTTGACAAAGTGCACGGACACTCTGAGAACTTGATTATAGCATATATGTCTAAGTAGCCATTCTGTTGCTATTCCTGCTCCACCAAAGAGTTCTGCAAAATTGGAAGGTATTCTTTTTTTATCACTTCCAGGCTGAGATAGATAACAGCTCTTAAGACAGTCATTCTATCGTTGTGTAACAAATAAGTTTAAGTTGCTTTTAATGCAGTTAATTCCCAAAATAAGGCATTTTTTGGAAATTGTGGGTGAGTTTCTTAGTGAAGAGAGCTTACCATGAATCTGCTAGGGTTATAGACGGTGTACCTGGTTATGGTACAGTTGGTTATGGAAATCCTCTTCTGAGAGTGGAGCAAACTAAAATAAATTGAGGTATCTGTAGTCAGACAGATTGAGGAAAGATAAACAACATCCAACTAAAATATCCCCAGCTGTGGAAAAAGCTATCCCCATCTATCAGAAGTATGATATATATTTAAAACAGATAGCAGTTCCTATAGGAAGTATAACTTGTTAACTATTGCTCTGTGTTCCTTGTCTGAGAACTTGAGTTTCACTGGTGCCCACAACTCAGTCCTCTAACCATTTTGGGCTTCCAGTGGATCAAGTTCTTCTAGCAGTGAAGAGATTTCTCATCTGGTGTGATACTAGGTGTTCAGTGGTGTGATGTTGAATTTCTAGTGTCATCTGGTTCATCTGTGCGTGTTATGGATCTATTCTGGCTCCAATACAGTCAGGAGGAACTGGATTAGGCCTGTAATGCTTTGGGAGGAAATTTTTGACTGATGTTACATAAGGAGGAGTAAAAGACTGAAATAATGAGAGATCACTGGTAGGAGAATAAAGGTGCTTACAGATATCTTACCATTTACCCAACTGTGTTATCACTGTCTGACTTGTGTTACTGAACAGAAATCGGGTGTAGGATGAGAAGTGATCCAGTCCTGAAGCTTTTATTTGGTTGTTTCCCAATCCTAATGTCAACAGATTTTTTTGCTGTACAATCTCTGGCAAATACCAGATGAGGATGGTTTTAGCTTTATGCTGCTTTACAGTCATATACATATTTTGTTGCAGTTAGAAGTGCACGTTGTAAATGTTGATATGAATTGTCCACTGAAGCCTGGACCCTGCTGAGTGTGCTGTGCACTGCATGCCCTGGCTAGGGTTAGAAACTGCAGTGCACAAAATGGAGCATCTTGGGTTAAAGGCAGGCAGAGTTCAGCTTTGGAAGTTGTTGTTACTAACTGACTGATACTAACAGGCTCTTAACACTGTGTTGTGTTGAAGTGTAGCAGTGGCAGACAAGCAGAAACCCTTATTGACTACATCAGAACTTAGAATCTGTGTTGGGTGTAAGGTTGAGAGTAGATGTCTTAAGATCTGACTGTCAAAGAAAGTGAGGTTTGCTTTCCATGTGCTAAACAGCTGCATTGACAGTTAGGGAAATGTGACTCACTAGCTAGGCCAAAGTCAAAACCCAGAAAAGGGCCAAAAAACCCCAAGTACCATAATCATGAACAAAAATCTCACTTTTTTTGTATTTGTAAATAGCCTTTGCAGTGGTTCATATCAACATTCAGAAGATCGCCTGCCTTGTGCTTTCTTCTCACCTAGATTTTCCATCAGTGGCCTCACCAAAGAAATATCCTGAAATAAAAGCTAGTTGTCTATAGTCCAATGTTTCCTCATGTTAGCAGCATTCATCCCAGCTGAGTACGCCTCTGATTCCACTATAAACTTAGCTTTTAATATTTTTTTTTTAAATAAGCCAAAAACCAACCCAAAACAGAAGCCAACAAGCTATTCTTAACACATTGATGACTTACACTCAGTTGCAGTGCTGCTATAGTCACTATATACAATATGTGATATATTTAGCATAGTATTTTACACAGGTGCGCCAGTCCTATTTGTGTAGGATATTTACTTGGGAATGAAGAGATTGCAGATTATGTTTGCTGTTAGGGTCTAGAAGGCTCATGGGTCTACAGAGGAATTAGAAGAAGTGCAGTATTAAGAGGTTTTTGAGCTCTTCTGTGTGATGGGTGTGTTGTGCAGGTTAGGTTAAGGCTGCAGGCAAGGTTAGGCATCAGAAGAAAAGGGATCAAAGTCCTTGTTTTACTCTTCAGAAGAGTAAATATTCCTGTAGGATGAGGACTCCAATCTAGAGTGTTATATCACTCAGGTTATGCTTTGATTTTGCTCTTTAGGTTCATTAAGGGCCATGTCACAATGTTCTGATCTAGATTTAAACTTTGTGTCTTGTTCTTCTATTGTCACATATCACATTAATGCTAGGATTAGGAACTGTCAAAAGAGTCATAGTTCAAGATGGGGAGGAGTTAGAATGTTTGGGTTGTGTGTATGTCCTGCAGGGCTGTAGCACTGCGATGAGCACTAATTTGTGGCAGGTGTTTGGGCTTATGTTGGTTTTGGTGCAGTTGTTTGTCACCGAGCTCTGGGGGATGTGCAGTTTGGTGATGTGATATCTGAGCTCTTTTTCCCTCTTCATACTCTGCAGTGGAGGGCAATGTGTTGAAGGTTCTGTGAGGAGGTACAATGACATCTCCATGCACATGGCCTTCATCACCATGGTTCTGTCACAGAGGAATATGGGTCAGTGTTTTTCAGCCTGCATTCTAAGGCCTGCAGAGTGACAGCATACCTTCCTATTACAGCATATTTTTGTTGCTTGAGAATAAAAGTCACTTCAAGAATTGACCTTTCATTATAATGGGAAATGACTTGAACATTTGCACGTTAAGCAACAGTATTTTCTGTGATGATACATAAGTCAAATAAGTTTCCTTTTAACTGCTGTACCTTTACTCGTGATTTCCTTTCTCCTCCCTTGAGTCATTTTTTCCTCCGTATTGTTTGATTACGTATCGTGGACCACTGAGTAAAGACAAGTGGTGATTTAGGGAGGTGATCAAACTGTGGAAAGATGTCCTGTAGAATTAATTGTTTGTTCAAGGTATTATATTTCATTTGGTCAAATTTGATATATGTGGTATTGCTTGGAAAGAACAAATCTTTACTGCATGCAGTAAAATGGGGAGGGTTTAGAACTGTACATATAGTATGCTGTTAGCTGTCTGCTTTGTTACTTTATGGTGATGCAAAATAAGAACTTTGGACTTCAGTTTTTTGCTTATGTTCCTTTGTGTTTCAAGGTAGTTTTTAATAATAAAAAGGGCCAATAGTTATAATTCTAGCTTGAATAATTTCATGCTGGTGACCATATTTCTTGACCACATCAATAAATGGGATTCTGGCATTATCTGTCACTTTCTTCTTGAAATCTTGTCAAGTTCCAAAGGAAAAAAATTGTCAAAAGAACTCATTGAGCAGGAGGAAAAAAAAATTAAGTTATAAAGCTCTTCCCATTTGACTTTTTCAGGTTTTAGTTTTCCGGTGAAGTTGGGGAGGATTCTCCTCCGCAGCCTGTATTGAAAAAGATCAAAACTGAGTTTAGCAGGTGATGTGATACAGTAAAAAAGAAGAATCGCTAGGATGCCTCAGTGCAATAATGTCCATGATCTGATTTGCTGTGTTTAAATCCTAAAAATACTTTCTGCAGACTACAGGCAGTACTGTAAGGAGTTAAATGTCTGGATGTTGGCCTAAGGAGTGCAGTAGCTATTAGGAATATTTCTGTCTTCTCTGTTTTGATTCAGGTGCTCACTGGACAAAAGGGATGAGTTCTCAGCCCTTCCTTATGTCCCTTTGAGGGAAACAGCCAAATCTTGCCCTTGCTTGCCTCAAAGGAAAAACTCCTGGTAGAGCCATCACATAGGCCTCTTCCCCAGTGCTTGGTTGGGGTATTCTGCCCAAAGGCAAGGAATTGGGTATGCCTCCCTCACCACATTTCTAACCCCTCTATTCATCTCATGGACCTGTGCCTGTTGTATAGATTCCAACACCCAGAAATGCTTTTTAACACTGACATGTCTGAGTACTTGTATTTCTTCATTGAAGCATCACATTTTAAATTGCTCTATTCATTCCTTTGATTTTGAACATAACTGTGACTCAGGAAGCCATGCAGAAATGTGTGTTTAGATTGTAATGGACTTTGGGATGTAAGCTGTGAGAGTCTTTGTTGTGGGAGCCTTTGCCAGGTGAAGTGTTTCAGGGAACATCTGGCTGGTTTGGATGCAGAAGAATGAAGAGTTTTCTACCTTGCTTTAAACTAGAACCTATGATGCTGACAGGACTTTTGCAGTTGAAAATTTGTTTTGGCCTTGGCAAAATACGTAGTTTCAATAAGGATAAAATTACTTAAATATGACAGGACTCACACATTTCTAGTCTGTACATAGAGTGATTATTTTGTAGTACAGAAGGAAAGACTTGTTTGTCAAGACAATCCAGTCATAGTGGCTTAGTAGAGCCTGATTTCAGCAGTCAGGATGTTCAGAAACATTGCCATATTCTTTTAGGATTAGCTGAGTGACTGCTAAACAGATCTTATTCCAAAGCAAACAAGGACCAGTGTGCAATTCACTTAATAGCTGCTAAAGAGGAATAATTTGTATCTGACATGCATGGTAAACCATAGACCGTGACTGCCTTGTCATCACAACTGCACAAGAGAATACAAAACTTAACTACTTCCCTGCACTAATGAAATTGGGAGGTCAGTTTCCATTCATCCATGTATAGATGTAAACAGGCACTCCGTTTTCCATGTGGTTATGTGTCTTTAAATTTGGCAACAATTCGTCTGAAATTTATATGTAAATCAGCAAAGGCCTTGTATTGCAAACAAAGTGCTGGTGTCACCCTTTGGGTTTCCCTTTGTTTCATCTGAGTTAGTATTTTGAGATGATAATGTTTCTGGAGAATGACCACAGTGAAGCTGCACTAGTACTGCTCGGAGGGGTTGATTAGTAACTGCTGTGTTACTGTGACTTGCACCTACGGCTCTCTTGCATTAATGATAAAATAGTTCTCATTGCTTAAGTTCATCTTTCTGCACATCCCATGTGTTGGCTAGTTTGAGCTTAAAATGCTTTAAAAATGGGTTTGTTTCAGGGGAGAATTGTATGTGGGGGCGGGAATGGGACTAACAACAAAGCTTAGGTGATTGCCTAAGCTTTCATGGCAGTGAAGACAGGCCCTTAGAAAAGATAAGCCCTGTAAAACAGGTAAGGGCACCCCCACATGTTGACCACAGCAGTAAAGGAATGAGGGATGTTTTTTTCACAAAAGTCTTCTGTAAGAAGACAGTAAAGCAAATAAAGAAAAAAACTAATTAAGCACTTTTTTGGGGTTTTTTTCTAACTTCCAGCTATTTTTGCAGGAGATAGAATCTATCAGAGAGACAGAAAAATAGGAACAGAAACTGGAGTAATTTGCGGTGGTAAGATACTTTCTATCTCTCTTTGCTGTTCATTCAGATAGGAAAGTTCTTTACTTGCAGGTCTGTCAGTGCACAAACGTGAAGACAGGGGCTGCTTTCACCAGAGCAGTGCAGTCTATTTCAACATCTTGGAACTTGAATCATATGGAAATCATAGAGTGGCTTGGGTTGGAAGGCATCTTAAAGATCCTGTTGTTCCAAGCCTCCTGCTTTGGCCAGAGACACCTTACACTAGACCAGGTTGCTGAGAGCCCCATCCAGCCAGGCCCTGAGCACTCTCAGGGATGGGGCAGTTTTTTCTCCAGAGTCTATTATTCACCATTCCATATAAATTTATCTCCTTAATCTTCTTTTTCTATGTCAGGAAGTTGACCAGCTTATGCTATATGGTCCTACTACTTCTCCTCAGCATCTCATCTTTTGTAATTGTTTGAATTACTGTGAAGATGTAGCAGAAAGAACTGAAAGTTCTCCTGAACTGGTATTCTGAAGTCATATCACACTAAGTATAGTCCAAAGTCATGTTCAGAGGGTAGTGGGAAAGGGTAGCATTGTAGTAATTTAAAAAAAAAAAATAGATACATATATAGACTACAAAACTGAGAAACGGGGGCTCTGCAATTGCCTAATTTTAGAGGTGTTTAAACTCCTTGGTTTTTGTCACTTATTTTGAAGCAAATAATTTTTTTAACATACCAAGTTATTCCTTTTGCTATTTTGTCCAAAGGAGGCAGTTTCTCTGTGTTCAACATGTTAAAAATCATAAGCTAAGTGTTTCAAGCCCGAGGGCTAAGGACCTCATCCTTTTGTGTAATTCTAATAGAGATGACCATTTTTTTCAGATGTCTGTAAGGTTCTCCACTTTTCTTGCAGCTTAGGACACCTGGATTGTGTCCCTTATGAATGGCTTCCTGAGAAATCATTGCTGAATCACTTAATTCCTCAATTTTAAATCTGTAGGATGAGATAACAATACTCGTGCACTTAAGCATGGGTGTCAGAATGATAAATGCGATTATGTATTGAAGTTTCTGAAATACTCAAGCATTATAATAAATAGATGGAAGAAGTAATTTCATTTGCACATTATTCACTTCATGCACCCTGTTTCTTTGGTGGTGGTAGTTATGCTATTTCTTAAGGATTTCCTTTTTGCTTCAGTCTTTTTACACAGAATTGCCACGTGGCAAACTTTCAAAGCTTTTGGTAGTGGAAAGCTCGCAGGGAATGGCTGAATAGAGTCAATCTGGTAGATAATAATTCAGCATACTAAACTTGGTAGTCGTGAGCTGTGTGACTTCCTCAAAGGAAAGAAGAAAAAGATATGTGTCCAAAGTGGTTCTTAGGCATCTGCTGATCACAAGTGTGGACAAGTACATGATGAAATATTGCTTGTCTGGCTCTGAGCTCTGTATAGTACAAGCAGAGTGACTCATTGGGTCAGTTGCTGACCAGAAGTTGAGCTGTCAGAAACAGATGGGCTGCCTAGAGAACGAGATATCTTGGAAGTATCTCCACCCTTGTCAGTAGTGTTACACAGCACAGGGATTTCTCAGAAGCAGTAATTTCTGGGAAAGATGCTGGGTTTTCAGCTGCACTCGGTCTTCCACACCAGAATAATGCCTTGTGGCCCTGAGAATAAGGAAACTTGCTGGCTTGTCATTGAAGATCCATATTTGTGAATCCTGTACTTGTATGGGTAGTAATAAGGAGGTCAGTAAAGGTCTTAAACTTGAAAAGGGATTGTTTTTCAGCTGTGAAAAGCCTTCAGGTTGCTACTAAAAGATGGCTGTGTGTAAATACTCTTTCTGCAAATGAGGCCAAAATTTTTAATCAACTCTGAAATCCAGTCTTTTCCTGTAGTCCTTTCCACTTCTTTACTCCTCAGCAGAATGAGAATAACAAATACTTCCTCAGACTGTAGAGTTGGGATGATTATGTTCAGCTCAAATATATGGAGGTAAAGTGCCCTACAAGTACCTATAGAAATAAAGTTTTTGTAGACATTGAGTATTGGAGCAAGTTCTAGATCAGAATCTGAGAAGAGAGTACACCAATCTGGGATGGATTTTCAATTTGACTTGCTGTGGTGGGTTCACCCTGGCCAGCAGCCAAGCACCCACACAACTCACAACTCCCTGCAGCAGCTCTTCACAGGGGGATAGAGGCAAAAATAGGGAAAACAAAATACATCTCCTGACCTGAGTTAAAAAACCATTTAATAGGTGAAGAAAAGCTCAGGGGCTCGGGTGGTGAAAAACAAGCAGAGCAAAGGAGACGACACACCAGGTGATGGCGGACAGATACCCAGCCAGTCTCCAAACAACAGCCAAAAAACTTGCTTGAAAACAAAAATATCCTTTTACTTCTTTATCCCAATTTTTATTTGTGGACTTGAGGATAGCATCACGTGAAATATCTCTCTGGTCACTGAGTCAGCTGTCCCAGCTGTGTCCTGTCCCAGCCTCTTGCCCCCCAGCCTGGCTGTGGGGGTGTAGTGGGAAGCAGAGGTGGCCTTGACACTGTGCAAGCACAGCTCAGCAATAGCCAAAACACTGGTGTGTTGTCAGCACTGGTGTAGCCACAGAGCCAGAACATGGCACCATATGGGCTGCAGTGAAGAAAGTTAACTCCATCCCAGTCAGACCCACCACAACCCCAAATCATACTGCTTTTTTCACTTACTTTTTAATGTAGTACTGAAAAAGGAATTATAACAAGAACAAAATCCTATTGTAAGATCTTAAGAACAGATTCTTGATTAAAAAATGTTTTCTTGTACATGCAGATGTGAAATTTTCTTTAGAATCATGCACACTTCTGAAACAGTTCAAAAAGACTTAAGAATTTGCTGAAGTTCATTTTTCACTGGAAAGTGTGTAAAAATTGTTTCAGGAAGTTCAATAGCACTTAAGTGCTTGTCTGAATAGGGTTTGCATATTCAAGCTGATTCTGTCCTGCAAGAACAGTTCTGGAGAAGTTTTACCAGAACATCAGAACTGTGTCAGAAATGGGTAATTCTCTAATTGCCTATAGGTGCATCTTGTTACTGTCTGTATAAGTATGTGATTCTGTGCCTTAAAATAGTCAACTCTGTGAGTCTTATTTATCATTAGACTGGACTGATAAAATGCTTTCAAAATTGAAACATTAAGAATTAGATTTATGGGGTTATCCCAAGAAATGGAAAAACTTAAAAAATAAAAGATTTGAAGTAGGAATGAAATCTTAGTTCACTTCTGAAAAAAAGATCGGTGAATGGCCCTGTTCTTCCCTACAACACCTTACTTTTGGTGCATATGCTGCTGTCAGTGAAAAATAACTGGCAGCTGTGTTAGAACTCTGTGCAAAGAGTTCAGGTAATGCAGATTAGAGCTCACTGATTACTTTGATCAATATTGAAGTCTGAAACTGAAAGCAAGTTGAGCTTTCACAGATTTTTTAGAGAAAATAATTGAGATTAAAGGAGACTCTCAAGTTCTTGAATTGATTCGTTATTTTTAGGGTGTTTGGCCTGCTCTGTTTTTGATGGCCCTTCTGTATTCCACTTTTAATATGAAGAGAGATAAGTATGTGTTCCTGGTAGAAAAGCATCACAAAGCATACACAGATGGGTAGCAGTTAGACTGGTCTAAATGTCAGAGTTCAAGGCAGCCACCTCCAAACCTCTTACTAGGTTTGTCGGTCAATGTTGTCATTCCAAGAGAGAGATGACATTATGGGATTTGGTTGATGATGCAGTAAGCACAATGAAACTGAGACTCCAGTGCTTTCATAAAAAGTTCTCTGCAATTTCTCATGCCTTTTTAACATTGAAGCACTGACTTGAATGAAACTTTGCTTGTATGGTGGAGAAGAGTGAACATATTCATTAGGCAACCCACAGTGAAGGCAAATAGAATTGCCCCCCTCCATTATGTTTTGAAATAGTTCAGCTGTAAAGGTTCATGATTAGAGCAGGTAGTTTTTCTTTACCAGTGATAACTTCTATTTTTTGTTCTTTCTATGGAGCAGGCAATTGGTACAAGTTGAAAGAATGATGGAAATCTTTGTTTTCGACAGCAAAGGAAGAAATGTTCTCTGAGACCACAAGGACGGAGTGTGTATTTTGCTAGAAGGGAGTATCAAGGCAGTAATTTGTGCCCTGTCCAAAAGCAAGGTGTATGTGGGGATAAAGTGGTGAAAGAGTTCTTGTATTTTTCTCCAACTGCACAGTTCAGGCAGTTTAAAAAGAGCCAAAGCATTCCCTGTTTGCTGTGCTGCGATTGTGAGCAAGGTGGCAAGACTGTCTGATCTCAGTTAATGAGCAGAACCCCTGGAACAATAGTGTTAGAGGAAGCTCAGGTCTTGAAAAATTCCTACCTGTGTCAATATTATTGGCAAGTAAATTTCATGTTTAAGGAAGACAGCCAGTGGAGCTGAGTCTCATCCTATGTAAATTGTGTCTCATATGTGGGTCTTTTTTTTTCCTCCATTATCAGAGTGTCCAAATATTGAGCAAATATAAATCCAGCCAAAGTCCTTGGGTCTGTGGATGCCCATGATAGAGCTCTGTTAACCACAGAATCCAGTCACAGCTCATATCTGCTGCTTGCAGAGCCAGCCCTGCTTGTTTTGGTGTGTGGCTAAATTGGAGATGTGAATTTGTGGCAGCTCTGACTGTGCTTTTGTCTATGGTAAGAAATCTGTGTGAGTGACTGCCAGAACTGCTCGTTATGAATGAAGACAACTTTGTGAATGGCTTCATGAAAATACAGCCAGACACTTTGTAAAGGACTAGCTGTTCAAGAGTCACCTCTGCCTTTACTTGGTGAGGCTGCAGAATAATGTAGGAAAGGCATGACTGATACAGCGCTTTACTTGATAATAAATGCTGTGGTCAGCTCTTCTGTGTCTGCACAAGCTACAGTAGCTTCCTGCTTTGTTAAGCTGAATTTTGCTTATCCCAAGTTTTGCTGTGATTTGGGCTTTTTGGGGAAGGATAGCTGGCTAACAGGGAA